TCTGTTTATAGATTTAAAATTCCGTTTCTTTTTTTTACTATAACTGTTCGATTCTGAAGGCTCTTGTAATGAGATGTAACATCTTGTATACAATAAACTATTACTATTAGGTACTATTACTATTTAATTTTCGTGAGCGATGCTTCACCACGGTAGACTTTTCAATGCAGTTTTGCAGATAGTTAATAAAAATATTAGCTGCTAATTCAACATCGCTTTCTGATAAAATAAATTCCCAATTTGTTGCCTTTTAGTAGATTGTTAATCGAATCATAATTTATTGATAACCATGTTGAATCAGAATTACTTTTGCAATGGTAATTGTTCAAGACATTTACGGGAATATTGACTGCAATTAAACTGTGGTCTGTAATATTGACGTGAACAACTGCTGATTGCATGGGTTTATCCTCTTTATTACCTTTCACGAAAATGTGGTCTAATCGCGAACTTGACCTAGTTGTTATCCTGGTATTTTCAGTGATGCATTCCTGATAACCCATTGCTGCCATACATAATAAGTACCTTTCTGCATCGGGCGATAAGTTATCAGGATCAGTGTTTATGTTGATATCACCTGCTACAATTACGTGAGAAGTAATCACAGATTCAAGCCATGTTTCCAATTCGTCAATGAATTCAGAAATGCTAAATGATAAACGCCTGTAGATACCAATGATGTCAAATTTAAGATTATTAAGTTTGCAAGTAACATGTACGCAATCAAATCTTTCAAATTCGGATTTGTTACTGACCACCTGCCTAAAATTATTATTTACATATATACATACACCTGCGCTTCTCTGATTGGCGTTACAATTCCAAAACATTTTGTAACCATCTAAACTAAACTGCTTTATTTCCGATTCTTGGGCCCAGATTTCCGACAAAACGATTACATGTGGTTTAATATCATAGCACTGCAATTGACTTACAAAAAACTCAAAATTTTTATTTAGGCTTCTAATGTTTTGGTGCAAAATTAATGTCCAGCCTTAAGATGTAATGACTTCAAAATCTGCTCGATTTGCATTCTAAGGGTCTAAAATAATCGCCGAAATTGGTCAAGATCTGATCACTACGTTAAATGTTATGGGTAAAAAAACCATTTACGAAGCAAATAAGAAAGTGATCTTATTTTTTTTACCAATTTGAGAAATATAAACAGACTTTAGACACCATTACGGTTACGTCAAAATAGATGGAGTCGTTTGCGATTCTGGATCTGTTTTGTTTATAAATAATATGGAATTTAACGTGAGCATTTATTTTTTCAGTAAATGTTTACTGGAATTACGCTATTGAGTGAAATAGGCAAAACAGAAAACACTTTTTTCTACCAAATGGACACAAATTTGTCAAAATTTAAATGTTTTCGACAAATTTGATTATTAAAAGAAAGCCTTTCCATTTCGTGCAAGTTAAGTTTTGGGACCGTAATGTGTCAAAAGTTTGCAGTTTTTGGGGTCGCATTGTGTGTTGCCTACTTTATGTAAACAGGATATTAAGGTTGGTGGAATGCGTTGGATTAGTGGCATAACTACTAAACTCTAGAAGACTGTGTTACTGTAGTTTTATTTTAAACTTTTCGAATTCCGAAAATGTGGTCTTGGTTAAAACAACATTAATCGGATAAGAAGGAAACGTGACAACGGTGTATTAACTGCATTTTATTAATTTAATTTGACATTTGACAGATTCTTATTCTTTCCTTCTTTGCATTTACTGAAAAAGCGATCGGTTTGATAGTAAAGAAGTTTAATAAACAATGGTTAGTATATACAAATTCATTTTAATAAATGCCGGTTTCTAAACATTTTCTAACTATACGTCTCTATCAATTCTTAGATTCTTATTAAACTTCATAGTTGCAGGTGTAACTATTAACAAAAGGGTTATACCCACGTGCGGTTTTTTCATTAATGTAACAACTGATTTACGCAATTTTCAATTGTAGGTTTCGCTTAATCCAGTCCGTATATTAAAATATGACGCCGAAGAAGAAAAGGCGGAAATAGCGCGATTGTCTAGCTTTGTCGGAGCTACAGCAATTGGCGACTTAGTTAAAAGTACATTAGGGCCAAAAGGAATGGATAAAATTCTAATTTCTAGTGGTAGAAGTGCTGGGCAAGTCGAAGTGACCAACGACGGAGCGACAATTTTGAAGTCGGTGGGTGTTGACAATCCTGCCGCTAAGATTTTGGTGGACATGTCTAAAGTGCAAGATGACGAAGTGGGTGACGGCACAACATCTGTAACGGTGCTAGGTAAGTTCTCAACAAGCTACAATGCATTTTGTGACTCTCATTTCTAGCATCCGAGCTGTTAAAGGAAGCAGAAAAGTTAATTGAGCAGAAAATCCATCCTCAAACAATCATTGCAGGATGGAGAAAAGCCATAGAGGTTGCACGTAATGCCTTACAAGTTGCTTCGTACGACAATAGTGCAAATTCTGACAAATTTAAAGAAGATCTTATGAATATAGCACGTACTACGCTAAGTTCCAAAATTTTATCTCATTACAAAGAACACTTCTCCAAGCTTGCTGTGGATGCTGTGCTGAGACTTAAAGGATCAGGCGATCTTCAAGCAATTCAAATTATTAAGAAGAAGGGTGGTACATTGGAAGATTCGTTTTTAGATGATGGCTTTCTATTAGACAAAAAGGTTGGCATACATCAACCGAAACGAATTGAAAATGCTTCGATTTTAATCGCAAATACTCCAATGGATACTGATAAAATTAAGGTTTTTGGATCTCACATAAAAGTAGATTCCATGGCAAAGATTGCCGAATTGGAAAGTGCAGAAAAGGAAAAGATGAAGGACAAGGTGAATAAAATTTTGAAACATAACTGCAACGTATTTATCAATAGACAATTGATTTATAACTACCCAGAGCAATTATTTGCTGATGCTGGAGTAATGGCAATCGAGCATGCTGATTTTGACGGTATTGAACGTCTAGCTTTAGTTACTGGGGGTGAAATTGTGTCCACCTTTGATAATCCAGAGATGGTTAAGTTGGGTAAATGTGACGTCATCGAACAAGTTATGATTGGTGAGGATATTCTGTTGAGGTTTGGTGGTGTTGCTCTTGGTGAGGCCTGCACTATTATCATCCGAGGAGCTACACGGCAGATAGTAGATGAAGCAGAACGATCTCTGCATGATGCATTATGCGTGTTGGCTGCCACTGTTAAAGAGTCTAGGATTGTGTTTGGTGGTGGTTGTAGCGAAATGTTGATGGCTGTTGCTGTAAGTGCAGCTGCAGTCAAAACTGCTGGTAAGGAAGCAGTTGCAATGGAGGCATTTAGTAGGGCCTTGCAACAATTACCAACTACAATTGCTGATAATGCAGGTTATGATTCGGCTCAATTGGTCAGTGAATTACGTGCGGCCCACGTAAATGGTAAAAGTACAATGGGCTTAGATATGGAAAAAAACAAGATTGGAGATGTGAAACAGTTGGGGATTACCGAGTCATTCGTAGTAAAACGCCAAGTGTTGCTGTCAGCTGTTGAAGCTGCTGAAATGATCTTGCGTGTTGATAATATTCTCAAGTCAGCACCTCGTCGGCGAGTTGAAGATCGTGGACATTGTTAATTTTTAATTCAGCTGCTTTGTGTATTAACGTTATATTTCTATCATTCACATTTACAGCATTTGTATTATTAAAAAATGTAATTCATTGCCTTAGTGTCAAATTTCACAAGTTTTGTAACAATAAACAGTTATTAATTTATTAATACTTTGTGTGGTGAAGGATACAGGCGAAGTGAAGATGTATTAAAAACTTTTCTCTAATTTTCTGCAGATTATTTATATTTCATATTCTTTTGCTATGATATATGAAAAAAAGCTTTTCAGTCCTTTTTTTTTACGTCTTAAGAATATGCACCAAATTTGGTTCCAGTGGGTTCAACCGTTTAACCAGAAATGAGAATGACACATTTGCGCATGCGCGATTCTGCCAAAAAGCTTTTTGGTTCTTCGTTTTATGTTTGAGAATATGTGTACCAAATTTGGATCTAATCGGTTCAACCCTTTAGCAAGAAATGAAAGTATACAGACGGACCGACAGACCAACATCAACTAGATTTTGTTTGATTCGGAAAAACGTGTATTTCCGTCAAAAAGGTGGAGGGTCATTTTTTTACCCCAGTGCAATACCTCCCTTACTAACCTGCGGATGGTAAAAACGCGTCTTTGACAGTCAAAAGTATTGATGTAATTTAGTTACTTCGTTGGGATTTGGATAAACTTAATAATAGCGCATCATCTTTGTCTTCTAATAAGAAATTTGGTATAGTCCAAGAGCCCAGTAGCAAAGTATACCTTGAACGCCCGGACGATTCTAATAATTTTCATTGGATTCGCCATAAAAAGTTGTATTAGCCGTTGTCGATTCTAATACAACTTTTTATGGCGATTCCAATGAAAATTATTAGAATCGTCCGGGCGTTCAAGGTATACTTTCCTACTGGGCTCTTGGACTAGTAGTACACACATAGCACCTGTCAATACTGTCATAAATCCCGCCATTGTCAGTAAAGAATAAGCTTGTAACAAAAATAGCAAACGAGTTCCTGGGCCATTGAAATTTTAACCAGTTCAATCAATGTGTGATGATAAAACATAATACCTACCGAAAACAGGCTTGGAAAATTCGAAACCGTTCGTGAGTTATCATGTACACAATCGGACGGAATTATTATGCACACAGGCAGACGGACAGAAAGTCCAAATGACCAAAATTAGGTCCAAATGACGAAAAATTAATCAGTCCCTTAACCATTGGCTATCTATTACCGTTGTATATTTATGACAATAGAATTGAACAATTCGAAACCGTTCGCGAGTTAACCATGTACATAGACGGACAGACGGACGAACAGACGATCATTATTTGCAAAACTCGCTTACTTAGTTACATCCTGGAAGTGGAATTTACCCGTACGACTTATCATGACGTCGAGGACATGCGCATTGAACTTTGGTTCAATAATGATTTTTCCTTTCACAAAAATTAAACAGCGAGAGGAATTACGGCAGGTTATACGGCATACTTCAATTTGGTTAAATTAGTTTAAATGGTCAATTAAATTTACAAATTGGTAGATAAATTAATTCGCTTAGTGAATTTGGGTGATGCATAGTTGGTGATATTATAAATTGGTCATATTAATCATCATCAAAGTTCAGAGAAATGGGGTCCCTTTTCCGCAGTGAGGAAATGACCCTGTGTCAACTTTTCCTTCAAAGTGAGGCTGCTTATGCCTGTGTGTCCGAATTAGGTGAACTTGGTTTAGTGCAATTTAGAGACGTAAGTGGCGACTAAAAATCAGTCTGCATCTTACTGTACTATTTTACAGTTGAATCCAGATGTGAATGCATTTCAAAGAAAATTTGTCAACGAAGTAAGGCGTTGTGATGAAATGGAAAGAAAGCTACGGTACTTGGAAAAAGAAATCAAGAAGGACGGTATACCTATGCTTGACACTGGCGAAAACCCGGAAGCGCCCCAGCCGAGAGAAATGATCGATCTTGAGGTAGGCTTTTGTAAGTTATTATGTTAATATGTTAATTGTCGAATTTCCAGGCAACTTTTGAGAAATTAGAAAACGAACTCCGAGAAGTGAATCAAAATGCAGAGGCATTGAAACGAAATTTCTTGGAATTAACGGAGTTAAAGCAGATCTTACGAAAAACCCAAGTATTTTTTGACGAGGTATGTTAATCATTTACTTTTAACTATTTTTTGATTATTATTCACCTAGCATGATTTTTACAAATTACTGTTGTGGGTTGCTCGCTTTATTTATCACAGTTTTGCCCAAATTTGCATTTAACAAAGGTGTATAATTTTTGGTAATTATCAGTTACAATGTAAATACTGTGGGTAATGGGAAAAGTAGAGTATACTTTTTGTTTGTTTCGAAATGGTCAAGTTCGGTAAAGTCTAAGATAAAAAAACCAGTTTCCTGTAGCTTTCTTTATTGATTCTGAACCACCTTGAAGTTACATAATTGTCAAGAATTTGCTCTTGATTTATTTGTAAATTATGAATCTGAAAAAATTGAGAATCAGGTTTAATTATTTGTGGTTGTACTTACTTGATTGCAATTTTTAAAAATAGTCGAGGTGCAACTGAAAAGTTTTTGAAAATACCTGGATCATTCATAAGTGTTTTAAAAACACTGGGAGTAGGTACAGTAACTGACACTAAGGCGGCAAGGTTGAATTTTGAGAAGATTGCGAAAATAAGGGCTCTAAGGGAATTTCAGAGGATTACAATATCCTGCAGGATTGTGAACAATGTGAAATTCATTAAAAGTGCAATTTGAAACGCATACCATAACTGTTTGAAAGACCCCTGCAAAATGAATATGTGCAAACCAAAAGAGATGCAAAAAAATGTATAAAAGATAAACTGTATATTATGTCTATACTGTGTTTATATCTATTTCAACCATTGTAGAATAATAAACATTTAAATAGTACCACGGTTCCGCGGCATCTGCAGTCAATCTTTCTTTAATCTGTAAACCATTACTCAGCATTTGTTCTACTTAATGTCTCAATTACGAAAAAGTTTTAGTCTGCGATCAATTTTGTAGGTAAGTTATGACCTGGTTTTGACGTATCTGTATTATTATTAGTTTTGCAATGTAAAATTCATTTTATCAATTTTAATTAAAGCAAGTTAATGTATACGTATTTTTATCAGTTATAATTGCTCAAGAGGTTTGTATTTTATCGAGTAAATTTGGGTTGTTTAATGAGAATCGGTTGCCTACCAATTAGATGCGAAAAACTGTCAATTAATAAAAATACGACACAATATAATGCCTTTTATGCATTTGTATTCACGGTTTGTGCCGTGTTATAAAAACTATGTAAATTCAAGCGGCGGCCGCGTCAGGCTGAATATATACGGTCCTGAAACCGTTCATAGGTACACCTTTGAATGTTGCTGAAACACAAACAGGTCGTGAGTCGACAATCACGAATTGATCAAAGCGAAGTGGCCTGTGCAAGCAGAAGTAGAAACAGGAGACAACAGATTTTTTGCGTATGCGGAATCATAAATGGAAGCAGAAGCGGAAGTGCACATGCTATTATAAATTAACAGAGGCCTTTAAAACAAGTTGCCAGATTTTGCCAAGCGCGTCAATAAATGACTTCTAATAAGCAAGTCGTATTTATTATTGGTTGGAAATCACACTGAACACATTTAACATTCTTGGTGATAACAAGCGCCCTCTTTGGAGAGAATAGCTGAACTTTACTAGGTTTGCCAACATGGTTGATTATCTTTCGTTGTCAATTTTTGCGAGAAGATATTTGGGCAATTAATTTCTCATGTAGGTGGGAAGGTATTAAGTATCTCAAAAAGTATCTACTACTTCAAAGGAAGCTGTTAAGTATTGCAAGTTTCGACTTGGTTTTTATGGTTAATAATGAAAATTGTCGTCCCAAAAAAGCTGTATTCCCATATTTGCATGATTTTCAGTAATGCGAAAGTTATGTGTCTAATAAATATTCCAAATTCCAAAATTAGGTAATTATGGCGCCATCTTGCGGGGTATGTGGTTTAAAGGCATCTCTTAAATAAAAACTAGAATAATTAGTCATAGAAATTTAGTGTATATGTGAAATACGACGTACGAATTGTTGCGACGAACTAGCGAGATGAATGGAAGTAAACAAAGACAAACAAGTCTCGACACGTCTGACTGCTGGTTCAGCCGACAACGACGCCGCTCACGTGACACGCCATCTTGTTCGGCCAATCATAACCTTGTTTAGGCACCCTATATACATATACAGTACAGGGTGTCTCACGACGAACGCCAGCTATCTATATTTCAAAAAGGAGGCCTAGGAATGTTTTGAAAATTTAACAGTAGGTATAGTAATGTCAATAAAAGATCCTCATCTGAGCTGTCCTTCATGTCAGTTATCAGAGATAGCCTGATTAACTATCGCACGGATTTAAATCAAATAACGATTAGTGTCTGTCTGTATGTCGTTTGTCTGGTCAAGTTTTGTCTAGTCCCTCTTTTTTTTTTAATTTATAAAAACATAATTTTCAAGTTTGCGACACTTTCGGTGATATCGGAAGTTGATGCCTACTTGCTTATTTTTAGATTCTACGTAAATGTTATAACATTTCATCTACATTTTAGACACACTTTAATGTTTATCTTAATGGCGTTTGCAGCCAAAATAATAAAATAACAATTTTTTCTATATGAAAGCAGTTATTTTTTAATTTAAAATTTAGAAGAGGTTCTGCTACAGTAGACTGTGTTGATATTATGATTATGAATAAATACAGGGGGTTCAAAAACTAACATTAAAAATTCAATTTAAAAAATCGTTAAATCTTTATTAAATGAAAATTAGAAAAGCCGTACCATTCGCTTGGGTGGCTAATGTATTGCATCTTAATTTTATGTGATCTGGACCATTTGACAGAGTTTTTTCCCCATTGTTTTGTAATTTAACACAATTCGTGATTAAAGTAGTAAGAAAGAGAAAAAAATAAGCTTTCTAATGACGTATCACATGACTTATGTTTCCATTCAAAAAAATTCAAGATGGCGGTCGCATTCAAAAACAATGTGCAAACAAATTTTTTTAACCTCAAAATATGTGAAATAATTGCAAATGGAAACTTTCTGATTTTCACGTTTATATCTCAAAATGGTTTAAGCGTGAGAGCTTTTGTTCCATCTTTAGTAGCGACCCTGTATAATAATATCATTTAGGAGAATGGGCAATTATGATTTGGATTCCAAACGTCATTTTAACATAAAAGTCAAAATGTCAAGCGGCTAAATTTAGCCATAGTACCAGTGGCGGATTTAAATTTTTTGTGCCCCTAGACACAACGAAAGATATGCGCCCCTCCAAAAATAAACTTTAAATAGCAATAACTTTTAAGATGCTAATAAAAAATCACACGTTTTCCAAAATTGTAAGGGATTTCACAGACTTTAAAGATTGTTTATCTGGCCCTAAACTTCCAAAACTATACCAATTAATTGCATCATATTTATTCCAACTTCCAATACAAATGTGTAACTGTAGTAGTAAATTACCAAAACTATATCTCAATGTATATGATAATACCTACACTATTAGATAAGGAATGAAATTACAACAAAAAATTGATAAGATCAAGAGATTTCAATGAACTTGATCAGTAAGTAAATAAGATTAGTTCTTGCTATTTATCTTTTGAAACTCCCTGACGCCGACGGTCCATTAACTTGGACCCTCGTCCATACCAAAATGATTCCCACTATAGCAATGTTTGTGGAAATAACAAAAAGCGTTGTGAAATGAGAAGTTGAGATTGGTTATTTACGATTTTCAAGAATGTACTGCAAAAGTTGAGAGAGGGTACGTTCGTTGAGGTAGGTACTAAAAGAATTTTCTCAAATGCAAATACTTTTTGTCTCATCCACAATCTTAAAAATGTTGTTAATATCCTTCAGTACTTATGTTTTTTATTTCTATTTGTAAACCTTATTGACACACATAATCCTCATTCTATATAATTTTTCATTTTATTATTTAAATAAATAGTTTCCTCCAGCATTTATTTGCATTAGGATTTGTGGTTGTGAACATATCATATAAAACTAAAATGGAATTTACCGTGATATAATATAATTAAGTAACATGTTTCTTAAGAAATGTAAAAGTGGGTATTCCCGCAATAACGTTCGTGAATACTAAACTAGCGTTACTAAAGAAGCTACAGTAAATTGGTTTAATTTTGCATTTAAATAGAAAATTTGGCATCGCAAAGTGCGTTCATTTAATTTTGACCTTTTCAGGATTTTTATATTTGCCTTCAAATGTCCCTAGATCACTACTGCTTCTGAAGATGCTGTATTTGCTTGTTCTCAGAAATGTGAAACGGAGTGTATTTTATTGTAACTAACTTAAAACTTAACTTTGGGCGTAAATTAATGTGTGTATAATTGTAATCCCCGCATTTGTGATTAAAATTGCATGAGCGCATACCACGTTGTACATATAATACGAAATACTTACATTGCGCTATTGTTTTTTGATCGGTATGCAAATTACTCGCTATTACTGGACATTCTGATAATCTACATTTACAACACTGTTATGTATTGTCTAGCTGTAAATTATTGTAAAATAAAACATCATGGTTTAAAAACCATTTTGGTTGAATTTGGATAATTAGCGTCTAAATTTGTCCATAAACAAATTTAATTGATGTTTAAGACGAAGGTTAATCTTTTTTTGCCTGTGGCGAGATTAAAGCGCTGGTTTAATTGGTATTTAATTTAACAATAACCGTTTTTATTCCCATATTTTTGAAACCACAAAATGTGTTTGTGCCCACAATGGCATGTCGGGCTGTCACAATTCTAATAATTTATTCGCCAACTTTGTAAATTAAAAGTTGGGTTGCGTGATTTATGACTTGTGATGTAATAATGAATTATTGGTTTTATGAATTATTAAATTACTCTAGACATTACGAGGTACAATATGAAGTGTGCTTTGTACACACTTGATCGAATTTGGATTGATTGTAAGGTCACTGAGTCGGAACAATGACAAGGTGTTTATACACGCTCCATTAATACTACAATTGTTCGGGGCAATTACTTGTAGGCCATTACCTTACATTGACCACAAGATCACACTGGAAACGTTTTAAGATATTTTTGTTAA